TTCAACTCGACATCGACGAATTTGTACTCGACTTTGACGATTTTGTACTCGACTTTGACGATTTTTTCTCAACTTCGACGAATTTGGATTGAAACTGATATTTGGACATATGGAAATGATATTTGCGTAATGGAAATGATATGTACATGTTCGTAATTCTGTCCCCTTCGGGCAAGCATATATTCATTAATGTACGTTTATATCAAACGAGAGCGTACTAAGAAATCCACGTTGATCACAATCTAACGATTCATACAATTGTGAATTCATAAATACGAGCCAGTAAAAATAGGATTCTTTTGTCGTCTGTGTGACTCTATCGGGTGGTAATATGTCTCGCACGTGATTGTAAAGTCCTAGTATTTATATGTAGCTTCACATATGAGTAATTTTTCGCGGAAATAGGTGCATGTAAAAGCGGGAAGGATGGACAGTAATATATAAGGAAGCGATAAAATAGGCCGTGGGCCAAAATTAATCCGGTTCATGACAACCCCCTGGGGAATAGATTTTCTGTGGTTTAATGCATAGTACCATGGATGCTCGATTACCACAAAAAGTTCCCAAGCAAAAAACTTGCCAAACACCGAGAAAATGGGTGATCAGTGATTATCCTGTATTAAATTGTATTACAGCAACAAAATGTGAAATTTTGTATTCAATTGCAACAAAAATGACTTGCATCATCAGAAAGCTTACAAAAAACGCATATAAGACTTTTAAACAGTTTTTTAATTCTTCAAATAGTTTTGAGTTATTGCTGTTTTAAATGTGAAAATTGGACTAAAATGTCGCAATAAGGGCTGGGTACTAGGTCAAAAACGCGTTTTTTACAGCCTATAACTCGAAAACAATTTGAGATATAAAAAAACTGTTTAAATGTCTTATATGTAAATTTTTGTAAGCTTTCTGATCATGCAAGTTTTTGTTGTAATTGAATACAAAATTTCGCATTTTCTTGCTTTAATACAATTTAATAGAGGATAATCACTGATAATCCATTTTCTCGGTGTCTGGCAAGTTTTTTGCTTGGGAACTTTTTGTGGTAATTGAGCATCTATGGTACTATGAACTGAAGAACAGAAAATCTATTCCCCAGGGGGTTGCCACGAAATTGCTTTTCTAAGCACTTTTTCCCACGGCCTAAAACTAGTTATTAGATAATAGTTATTATTATTGAATGTTGTGGCTAAATTTTTGCGAAAGTTTTTGTTTTATATTATACTGGATTATTCCTTTGAATGTATATGCCTCTTGTTTACTTTAATTTCGAGAATTTGAGCATACTAATTATGTTTCGCAAATATTGTTTGCTTTATGTTCCGATACACAGGAAATGAAATTAGTTCAGCCGTCACAGGCGTACGGGCGGGAAAAAATCAGGGAGCCAGAAAGAAAATTTACCAGACTTTTACCCACTGAATAAAATTTTCCGTGTAACTAAATTTCCAAAATTGTCGTTGGGAAGTAGACAAAAATATAATTCCATTTGTCGATTCCTCGTTACCGTTACACATTTCTGGTATTTTCAAATACCATATTGCATGTACTGTCTTCTTTATAAATTTATTTCCCCAATTTTTGCCCGAATTTATACGTTTATAATTTGCATGACTTTATTTTGACTGGGGGGCGGGACTGCCTCCCCCCTCGCCCGTACGGCTATAATCAGCCGTTGTTACGGATCGGTTATATATTGTGTTAAAAACATTTTGACTTTGTTGTTTCTGATGACATTTGCAGACTCTCGATCGACTCTCGACTCTCGACTTTTTACTCTCGACTCTCGACTTTTTACTCTCAACTCTCGACTTTTACTCTCGACTATGGACTTTTACTCTCGACCCTCGACTCTTAGATACACTCCATTTACCACCCAGGTGGTAAATAATGCCGCCGATTGACTAGTCAGCTAGCCAATCAGAACGCGCAAAAGATCATTTGATATGCAAAATTTATACTAAATATATATATATATATATATATATATATATATATATATATATATATATATATATATATATATATATATATATATATATATATATATATATATATCAGGCCCAAAATGTCAGGCCCAATAATTTCACCTTGGTTAACTGTTATTTTCAACCAGTCTTTTAAAACTGGTATTTTTCCAAGTGAATGGCAGTTAGCGAAAGTGTTTCCATTATTTAAAAATAAGAAAGGAAACAAAAGAAACAACGCTGAAAACTACCGCCCGATTTCAATTTTACCAATTGTGGCAAAAATATCGGAAAGAATCGTGTATAATCAATTATACAACTATCTTACCAAACACAATATTCTGTCGAAAAATCAGTCAGGATTTCGAACAAAACATTCTACCGTTACTAGTCTTTTACATGCAACCAATGAATTTTACACCAATGCTGATAACGGATTGATTACTGGAGTCATATTTATTGACCTAAACAAAGCTTTCGACTCAGTAAATCATGAAATATTAGTACGAAAGCTTGACCTGTATGGCCTTAAAAGGGTAACTCTGCACTGGTTCAAAAGCTATCTTAGCGATAGGCACCAAAAATCTTTTGTAAATATGAAATTGTCAAATGAAGCTATTATTAAATGCGGTGTTCCACAAGGATCAATTTTGTATACACCAAACTTGGCATTGTGTCCCATCGAGTCGAACCTCCCATCTCCACACCAAGAAGCATTGGAAATGTTCTTCATTGTCCTGATCATGTTGTTTCTGCAGTTGGTCCAGTGTTTCAAAATAACCGGGAATAAAAACTTGGTTTGATGGCGAAAGAAAGTTCTGGCAGAATAAATGGCAAGACCCATGTGTTTGAAAATCAGCAAAACTTTACTAATAGATCCACCAGCCATTAGCACCGCAAAGCTGAGCAAGATGTTTCCAGCTGGGTATCTTCCAAGGACCAAAGGCTGGCTGTGCCACTTGTAACTGTTACCACATATCTTGCACTCTTGATCCACTGTAGCCATTGTTTCAGGTACTTTCATTGATACAGAGGGCAGATCTGATTTGCAATTGAAGCAGAACTTGGAAAACAGGGTCATCAGCATTGTATAAAACACAATAAATTTAGGCTCATCCGTCGGCAACACTCCTGGTTCAACCCTACAAATGATAACAGATGTATGTAATAGCTAAATATTAGGCTGTTGTAATATTTTTAAAAATCAAATGATGCAGTGCTTTTCAGACTATTGATCATACTATTCAAAACATACTATACCTCACTTCTCGCTTTGATGGAACTGGTTCGTCATCTTTCTCTACTTCGTCATCGTCTGATGCATAGCATCATACTCCCAATCAGGGTCATCATCGTGAACACTCGCATCACTATTATTATCATCATCATAATCTGAAGATGAATCTTCATCCATGCTAACATCACAAGCAGATGGGTTTTCGGCATCATCACTCACTGGATTGTTCACAACCATTTCATCCTTTTGTGCAAGTTGCGGGTAAAAAATTACAAATAACTATAAATATATAAACCCAAACAAATGGCACGTGCTCATCAACTACATTCTGTTTGGGCCCCTCATCTTGTAGTTTCAAAACAAACCACTCTAGACTTATTTCAGCTTAAAAGATATTTTGGTATAATTCTTTCCACTATTTAGTATAAATACACACTACATGTACGATATTGTTAACTTACCGCCTCCAGATGTCTGATTTCAAACTTCAAGTCACGAATTGTTTCAGTGCGCCTTTTCAGGCGCTTTTTCTGGCCAGACTTCAATTTTTGTAGGGAAATAATTTTTTCCTTCTTTTCAGCACAACCTGAGCACGGTGACATAGCCAAAACATTAAAGTCGTTCGACGAAGCGCTTGCAAACGATTGGTCATTTTTTTCTATCTCTTCTGGTATAATAACTTCAGGTTCTTGCTCGTTGTTGGCACTTTGTGAAACAACAATATCACCTACATCCAATACTGTATCGTCGATATCCATGTCACTTGCAGAGTTTGCCATTGACCCAGAACCAGACGAGAAGTCAAGCAGTTGGCGAATATTACGTGCACGCTATATATATAAATAAAACACAGATACTGTATTTGCATATTACATTTAAATCATATCTTGGTGATCATAATCTTGAAACATATATGCAACACAAGAGAACAGCACACAAACAATCAGATCCTTATAAACATATTCACACATATATATATATATATATATAGATACATCATATTGAGATATCATATTTACCATTCGGTTTTGACGCTTTGAAACTGGTGTTGGTTTCAATTTATCCGTCACCAGCGGAACAGCATCCATTGTTGGGAGAGAATCTGGCTTTAAATATCTCGCTTTTGGTCTGAGATGTTCTGGGATATCCAGAGAAAAGCTCTGCGGATAACACGAGGGCTCGAAGTGCGCAGAACACACAACGGAGTATTGTGTGGGTGAGAAATTTGTGCGGTGTCTTCTCACAAATTTTGTCCACAATCTTCGTTCGTCCGGTCTTGTTTTATCCGAAGGAAATTTATGCATAATTATGCCTGGTGTGTGCGTAGAATTTTTGCAACTAACACCACCAGGGCCACCACAAACACAGTATCTTCCACCTCGCTTTACAGGAGCTTTTTGTGATCCCGCCATACTTGCAAATATAGAACACTGTGATATGTCCATACGCCTACGTCACAGGCCATATGACACCTTGATTTACCGCGCGAAAGATATTCGCACAATTACTGATAATTTATCGTATCTTTAAATCGTTTTAGTTTAAAGAATATCAAACCAATTAACATGAAATTTTGCGAGGTTGTTTTATACATATAGATCCTTCAATATATCGAAAAAAAATCAATTCGAGATTTTCATGTCATAGACACTTTAAATGTCTCAAATTCATCACGTAGTGAAGTATTAGACGTCTCAAACAGGCGAAGTTGATGTTCAAAATATCGTTGGAACCTCAGGAAAGAAAATGCGAGGGACAGTAAGAATGCAGAGTCCGAGTATACGATTGAGAATCCTCAAAACTGTCAAGAATACTGGGTTATTTATAGTCTGAACTGTGTGTCCATGTAGCTGTGTCAAGTATGCAACACGTTTGTGGTGTACTGGTGTTCAAAGGTAAAATTCCCTTCAATATTTTTTTATGTTTTCAATGCACTTACCTTTTAATTTAGGTTTAATTGGTAAGTTGTATTTATACAAAAGTATATATGCATTATACTTTATCCTTTGTATTAATTTTAATTATTTGTAGATTGTGTTGGTAATTAATATTATTCCTGAGATGATACTCAGTTCCATGACCCTGTCAGATTTAAGGAAATATGACTCTTTAAGACGTCCCTGACAAACGTTCTGGTCTTGTGTCAGAGTTTGGGTTGGGATGTGATTCATGTAATGAGTCAAGCAGTTTCACAACATTGGTCAATGCTGCTACTCGGGGAAGGTCACAAGATATAAATCGCCGTGCTGTTTACCATTCAGTGGAGACCGGCAGCGATTACGAAGATCTGGCATCTTGTTGCAGCATTTTTAACATGCCTTGTATTTCTAGGTCTGTTTACTACAAGCAAGTTGAAGGCATCATGGGATCACTTGAAGAAAACGCAAAGGTTCCAAGAGATGAAGCAAGATAACTGAAGCGAAGAAGTCTGATTTGCAAGCTAAGTGATAAGGAAAAGAGGCGACGCCTATTGCGTACCAGAAGAGAAGAGGCCCTCCGCAATACTGAAGGAGTGACATATGAGGCAGCAGCTTTCTAGCTACTTCTCATAGGGATCCTATAGGTTATTAGAACTTACAAATAAGACCTTAACTTTGTAAGATGATGAAATATTTAACATTAACCAGTAACGAAAACTTTAAACTCGATTTTCTCATTTCGCACTATTTCAGCAGTTGAGAAAAGAAATCTTGAGTAGATTACAACGGATTTGACTGAAATTTTTATTGATTGTTCCACACAGTCATCTTTGTGTTTTAAGTATAGGAATGTGTTTCATGGCAAATATTTTTAAAGTTATGGCAGTTTCAATAATTATTTTATAATTCAGTGCTAAAATCTGATTGGCCGTAACTTTTTCATTATTTAATGTATCCAAATTCTCTATGCTTTAGACAGTAATCCCTATGTGTTAGTTAATTTAAGATATAAAAGAGCCAAATCATTCAAATACAGAATGTGCAATCTTTTCTTGAATATAGTCTAGTCGCAAATTTGGAAATCGATCCAGAGCCACCTTAATATGGCTTTTTGTGTGCAGTAAATAGCTTTTTTAGATTCCTCATGTCATAAGCTTTCTGCCATTATATAGTTTGTGGGGGTTTTGATGTAAACTTAGTGAACTATGACGTTAATTTTCCCTTACACCATATTTTTTAGGTTAACTCCCCACTTAATAATATGCAGTTTACTAGTGGTCAGAGCAAGGGTGGACAACATGCGTAATGCGACATGCGTGATGACAAAACTTCAAAGGTTCCAACGCGAGTTGCCCTTCTATTTATTTCCTATTCTATGCTCAGGACAGGATAAAACCACTGGGAAAAATATAACTGATTTGCACTGGATGAAATAAGTGGGCCCAATTATATCATGCATGTTCTCTACCAGAATTCTGATATTAATTGGTTATTATAAGTTTATTAAGTTACTTAATCGTGTTCTTTTAGAACTTGTATTTACTCGACCCATCAGTGTTACTATAGAATCATATATCGCTACTACAACTTGTTGTTTTGAAAATAAAATCTTGAATGAGATAACTTCCTGAAAATGCAAATACGATTCCTAAGAAGTTTATTATTAAGGTTACGTTTAAAATTTGTTGGACCAATTTCAGGTTCATTTCAATGTTAGTAGACAGACTTTAGAAAAGACGACGGACGCGGTCTCAATTTCAGCTCCGAAGATTGAGAGCTAAGGAACTTGATTACTGGAATAAATTGAAGCTTTTTAAAATAACCTTACAAACAGCTGGAAGTTCGGGGGAAATGATCCCTGGTGTCTGCTGTATGATGATTATAAATAGTGAACTATCTTTATTCTAGCTAGTATTTCATGATATGATAGTCTATTTACAAAAGCTCTATTTATACTAACAATTATAATCGTCCCAGGCTTACTCATGCATATATAATTAATCATGACATCTGCTATGAGACTGATTTTATGTAACTCCTCCAATGTCTCAACAAGCATTCACGTTGCTCCAATGACGTGAAAATCTTAGTTTAACGTTGCATTCAGAATGACAACTTTAAGGTACCCCTGAGACCACCATGCAATTATTCAAACTTTTTGTTTTGCATGAAAAGTTTCTTTGTTTCGTTTTTCAGTTCGCGTCATGTTTTCTAAATCAGTCTAGTATACGTCATATGATAACAACAACAACAACTGCAAGCAATATTTGTCATTTTTAAAACAACGTTAAATCTAAAATGCAAGTGCATGTACAAGAATAGTTATCACAAGTTTCTCAAAGTAAGGATTGCATAATTGCATTCAGAAAAATTACTTAAAGAATGTTTTGTTTTTCTCAAAATAAGAAAGTGATCTTTCTCGTTATAAAAAATTTTTTCTTCAGAAAAAATATTTTTATTCTCCCAAGAAATTTGGACTTATTTCGAGAAAAATTTCTTAAAATAATTTTTTTTTTCTTAAAATAAGAAAGAGAATATTTACAAACTTTCAGTTGACTTCGTAACTTTCAGTTGACTTCGTATCCTTTCCATTTGGTGAAAACTGATGCTTGTAGCTCCGCTCTCCTGTCCAAAAAGCTTTAACCTGATATCAAGTGCGTGTTGACATGACTCCAGAGCAGAATCATAATCTTGCATTTCGCACTGACATTCTGCAATCCTGAAGTAGCTTGTAGCGACGCCTGGGTCTTCCTTTCCATACAGCGCCACCCTAATATCCAGGTCTTGCTGGTGCCAATGCAGAGCTGAATCGTTCTTTCTCAAGCGATACTTTGTCTCTCCAATGCTATAACAAGTGCGGGAAACGTGTGGGTGGATTTTCCCGTGAAGTTTTTGCCAGATATAAAGTGTTTGCTCGAACGATTGCAGTGCTGACTCGTAATCTTTTTTCTCATATTGGGTACGTCCAATCTGGTAATAGCTGTCGGCGGTATCTTCATGGTTGTGCCCATAAAGCTTCAGTCTGATGTCTAGTGCTTCATAATGAGATTTCAAAGAGGCGTCATAATTTTTCTGTTCGCATAAAATCAATCCCATGTTGTAGTACTTTTCGGCTGTATCCGGGTTTATTCGACCATTCTCGTCTATAAAATTATCAACAACGAGCTGCAGCGCTGCTGGACTCTCTTGTTTTACTTTAACCATTCCCAGCATGCATTCAACCAAGAAGAGTAGTGGCAAGTATGGACGGTCGCTCTGCGCTTCCGTTTCGACTTCTTTCTGTAGCTGCGAGATTGGCACACCAAGTTTATACATTACCTCCTTCATGTCCTTCTTTTTATACGCAATACCGAAGATGACCATAGCAAGCGGCAAAATGATTGGTTGATTTAAAGCTTTCGGCTTTTCATTCTCTTTCTTGTCAGCGCAATCATCTTCTTGTATAGCTTTGAAGAAAGCATACAAGGTTGGTCTGTTAGCGCATTCAGTTAAAACAATGTTCCGGTAATAGGAACATTTTTCTGTGCGAGGAGTTATCAAAGCAAAAATTTGGGAGCATAAGACCTTAAGTACAGTATTTTCAGAACTCAACAGAGATATCCCTGTTTCAAGAAATTCGCCTCCTTTCGCTTTCGCTGTATTTATTAGCAGGTTAATACCATAGTAACACATTCGTTTTCCCTGCACAGCAACTTCTGAAGTAAGGAGAGGATATTGCTTCTCTATTTCTTCGGCTTGTTTTAGTAATGCCAATGTATCTCCATCATCCCAGGTTATTCCACCAAAAGCTTTAGCAATTACCAGTTGGTGGAGAGCTTTAAATTTACGCTGCCCTTTTGCCTTCGCTATTGCTAAATTATAAATTTTGAAAAACATCCAGCAACGTTCAAAGCAGAAAATGGTGTCCAAAAATAGATCCGAGCCGGAAAGAACATCAAAAATTGCGTCGCAGACAGCCTCGTTTTGAAGACCTTCGCAGAGACTATGCACAATATTTTCTCTGTTAAATTCGAAATCGTGAAATGCGAACAGAGAATTTCCAGCAAGAAACTGGTTGTTTAAATCTTCAAACAGCTTGACGTAATAACTCAGGAATCGCCTTTCTGCTTCGCAAGCAATTTCATTCATGTCAACCACTGATTTTTCGGAACCAAATGATCTGATCAGAGGGTGAAAGGAAAATAACACTGTTTCGGAGGAATTTGCTTCAACCAAATATTTTCTCTTGAGCCTCAACAAAGTTTTCTTTGCTGTGTTTTCATCTCCTCCAATAACGTTTACTGCAGCTTGCGCGTCAAACACTTCACTGACAAAAACTGAAAGACAAACAAAAGCTTCTTGCTCTTCTTGAGATAGTCTTTTGAAATAAGACTCAAACAAGACATTTAAACGTTGATCATTAGGCGCATCTGGATCGTCCAGCAAGTCTGCTAGCTTTTTTGAAGAACCGCTAAAGTTGTCAAGGAAATGAGATATACTCTTCTTCTCGTCAACGATTTGACCGCACAAAAGCTTGATGGCCAGCGGAACGTCTCCACAAACCTCAGCCACTCTGGAGCATTCACTTTCATCAGCAGCAGGGACAAGTTCTTGAACAAGCATTTGTGACGATTTCCGGTCTAGCGATACAACAGCGACAGACGTATGATCAGCAAATTTTCTTCCAAGTACCGATTGGAAACTCGCTCTTGTGGTCAGTAGAAAGGACACATTTTTGCAATGAGAAAATATCTTTTCCAAAAGGTCTAAAACTTCTTGGCTCGTTTGACCACTACTCTGAAAAAGGTCATCGGCGTTATCGAGGATGATGCAGATGTTAGAAGGAATCGCACTGAGAAGTCCGCATAGTTTTGAACGCTCACGGCTGGTTACATCAGACGCATTTGCAAAGGTGTTTAAGAGGTCACAGGTCAGCTCTTCCGCTGTTTTGACGCTTCTCAAGGAAAGGAAATAAACTGGCAGTCCGAGCTGTCTAAGTTGGTGTCCTACTGCAATTGCCAATGAGGTTTTGCCAAAACCAGGGGGTCCAGATACGGGGACCAGCCGAGCAGATATGGACGTCAACGCACGCGAGATATCTTCAACTTTTTGTTGTCGACCAATGAAATGGGGCACCATGGGAGGAAGGCAGGGCTTGGGCACGGACTTGTCAAACACTGTAGTCAAATATAGAAAATACGATTAAACTGTAGTCTAACCTGCTAGACTAAGGGCGAAAAGCAAAAAGCTGTGAAGCACTAGCTTGTTTTTAGTGGTTACAAAAATCATACTCGTACCCATTGGGGGAGAAGGCTTACGTCACGAGGTACATCGCCCACTATGCCGTATATATACACGAACTTGTGGTCTGAGCTGGACAACTGGACTCTTTAGCCCAGTTGGTTAGAGCGCTGCACCGGATCGCAGAGCCGCAGGTTCGATTCCTGCCAGAGGGCATGTAGTTGTATTTTTCGCAGCTGCTCCTGGTTACAAAACACTCTTGAACAACTGTTAGTCCTATTGGCTGGCGAATGATATTTAGCGCTGCATTACGTAATCATAGAACTGGGTAAAAAATCACAACGTCATGTGGCACACGTGATGTTTTTTGATTGGACAATTAGTTCAGATGAACATTATACTCCGCCACTAATCTACACAAGTAATAATCTCACGTGTGCGATTACTTATGCATGTCGCACGTGTGACGATTATGGCTGAATCGGCAGACCAAAAAAAACTCAAAATGCTATAGCTCTTCTAAATATTTGAAAAACTTAAACCACATGCAGGATCGAAGTATCGGAAAATCGCGCCGCGTTATCGAATCTCGTCCGGTTTGTCGCGGCGTTTATAGTTTAAATTAATGTTATTTTTCAATAGGTAATATGATGGTTTCGAGTGCAATTTGGATAAAACACGCACGAGTAAGTTTTTCAAAGAGCATCGAAATAGCACGACGTCCGAATAACGAGTGACATTTGAGGTCTGAAAAACTCACGAGTGCTTGTCTTATCCAATATCACGAGAATCCTTCTATTACGTATTAATAAATATACATAAAAGTGTTCGTGGAAACTGTAGTTTTAACTTATATAATTACGTTTATAGCAAATTGTGCAGTGAAAGAATTTTCTGGCTTTGTTATAATCACATTAGAGATTGGTAACGGCTTCAACATTTCACTCAAGTTTTGTTGTTCTTAATTGTTATAGTCAAACCGAGTGTTCTTTCGCACACTATATATATATTGCAATGTTGCTCTGCAATGTTGATTGTCAATTTGACTTGCATGATCATTTTCTAAACGTCTACTGAAGGTACCTCAGCATATTCCTTAAAGGCTTCACTTCACTGCTACCAAGAGCAATATGGCTCTGGTTACGAGATTCCTCTCCGATCCAGCCAAAATCACAGGTTCCAGCATATATGGTCTTGTTCACCAATGTTTCGGCTATAAGAAAATGCCAGTTGGCAGCTTGTAACAAAAATGCCACCAGAGTGTGGTTTTCAGAGAGTTGGCCGATCCTTTAATATACATCCTGATGAAGAACATTCAAAGAAAACCGACTCGACTATCACATAAGGTCTTTTGCAAATTCGTAGATAATTATAACTATGTCAAAAAAGTCAATTTATTTAATTCTCCAATATTATTACAAGTAAAGCATCTGTTGAAAGACTAGTAATTTGAACTTTCGCTTCGAGTAACTGCAATGCTTAACTTAACGTTTTAACAATAAACTATTTCATGTATTTACGTTCACTTGTTCTTTAATTTGTTGTTTCTTTGACTATTGATATATAACAAGACGCCTGCTCAGGCGTTCACACTGGCCTTCGCGGTTACCATCGCAATATTCTAAAAAATAGGTACGTAGTGCGTACATGTTGCATGCCATCAAAACCATGAAACCTCATAACTCAGAATACTATACAGAAATCATGGCCATCTCCATTGTTTTCTGTGTAAGTGTTATTCGTCATGATTTGTCACTCGGCAAGTACAGTAAACAGAAGCAGTCACTTCCTGGCACTGAACAAAGATACACAGAAGGTCGATTAGAGCATAGTCTTTCGAAACATGGTCTGGAAATTCAGTAAACTTCAAAGCGGTTATAATGAGCTGGGATTTTATGTTGAGCCGTACCTTACACCGTGCACATCCTTTGTTTTAGGTTTATTAATATTTAAATAACATGGTTGAATGACTGAACTGAAACGTCGCTGTTGGATGATTCGTTCATTATACTGAAATACAATATGTTCATTGACTGTGCACTGTGCACAAAACTGCATAAACGCGAACAAAAAGATAGAACAAAGACTTTAGCGGAGTTTCCAAACCATGTTTTGAAAGACTATGATTAGAGTAAACGCTGCCACGTTCCAACCAGTGCACGCCAGGCAACCCCCCCCCCCCTGGACGTCTGTCATTTTGAATATTATCAGGGGGTGAACTTTTGGCGGGCCAGGACCATGGCGTCAGCATTTACGGTCACACCAAAATTGTTGGAAAACCATAAGAAAAAACAATAAATTGGGCTTCTGTATGATCGACCCTGTGCCCTGGTAATGATGCACGACCGCTTATAACTTTTGGTACAACCATGGGCGTACCGGAAGGAAAAATTTAGGGGGGCGGAAAGAAATTTGCCCGACTTTTTCGCATTTTGCCCGACTAAAACCTTTTTTTTTTGGCGACCCCCCCCAAAAAAAATTTCGGTCAGTGTACCATTTTAGGGGTCAAAAATTTTTTCCGGACATACCAAAATTCTCCGGAACCTAACAAAAATTTTGGAAACATCACAAAATTGACCACAAAATTTACAGAATTTGTCTCACTCCGTTTTTTAATACACCAAAATTGCCCGACTTTTCAGCGAATATTGCCCGACTGCCCAACAAACTGGGGGGGGGCTGCCGCCCCCCTCCCACCCCCGCCCGGTACGCCCATGGGTACAACAGACCTGAAACTTAAATACTGATTCAATAAGTTTAATTTAAGATCAATATATTGTTTGAAAAATAGCTATTATGTTAAACTCTCACTACTACGAATAGGCAATGTTTTTATGAGCGACTGTTCATCGTTAGTTGCCAACGACGGTAATATAAACAAGGTCAAGGCAGGTCAAGTTTGTATCGAAAGCGATTGTCTGTTAGATTTTATTTTATACTATTTTATAACTAAAAAATGTCATTTCCTACAAATTTAGCTTTATTGTAGCTACAATATAGCTTTATAATATAGCATTTGTAAATTCTGAACGCTGATTGGCTAAGAGCCGTGTTGATATAACTCAATGTCAACACGGGAAATTTTCCGCCGCTTGCAAACACGGAAATTTTTCTTATCTTTCGGGCTTTTGACATTGCTATATTATAAAAAAAATATAAAACATTTTTTCCGTGTTGATATATAGTTATATCAACACTCGTGGAAGTTGGGAAAACTCGAAATTGTATGAAAACACTCCGCCCTTCGGGCGTCGTGTTTCCATAAAATTTCTCGTTTTCCCAATTCCACTCGTGTTGATATAACTGTATATCAACACGGAAAATGTTTTATATTTGTTAAATAATAAAACCTGGAAACGGTGAATTACTATAGATTGAAAATAATTATTAAACTATGAATCTATGATTGAAATTATCGACGTAGAATGCTATATTTCGTTGTATTAAATTTCAAATATAGTATATAAATAGTAATACATTTGGCATCCGTAAGTACAATTTCGTATGCTGAATCAAACAGTGGTATTTTTATCCTTATTGCGCCATTAGACATTACAAATACAAAGACAAACATATAGTGCGAGTGATTTGTTAATAATGTCTCAATCAATTCCATGGGTGCCCAACACCCCCCCCCCCGGGCGTTTGTCGGGCATTCTCAACTGTACTTGTTCCCAGGGTCGGGAATTTGCTTTCTGCAGGTTAGCCCCGGGGTGGGGAATTTGCTCGAGGCTAAAAAGTCGAATATTTATCGTTTGTTTTGCCATTTAGCCGTACTTTAGTACGCATGTTTACACCAGCGAACGTATCGCAAATTAATCATGGCGGAATAACACAAGACTTTTTTCTTGTCCATCCTGTTGATACATTGACTTACTTCTGCAGTTTGATATTGCTATATAAAGTTTTGAGACTTCAATATTTTAATTAAAAACGTTTTAAAACGAAATGCCTATAGAATCGATTTTAAATACAGATATATTGATACGTGATAGACCTTGGATTCGATTTTTTGGATCAGAAATCCTCAGAAAACTTATATTTTGTCCCCCAAGGGTGGGGCATTTGCGTCAATATAAGTCCCCAAGGGTGGGGATTTTGTTGCATTATTTGGACCCCATACTGGGGCATTTGCAACGTTTTTTCGCCAAAATGACAAAAGCCCGACAAACGCCCGGGGGGTGTTGGGCACCCATGGAATTGATTGAGACATAACAATACATACTGCGAGCGATCTGCCAATACAATTTCGTTTGATTTTCAAAGGCCATAAATCGCTAGAATACTGGTGTTCGGTAATACACTTGACATCCGTAAGAACAATTTCTTTATACGCTGAGTCGAACGGTGTCGCTTTCTTCTCAAAATATAGGAATTGGTTAAATCATCGTGAGCATGTTCAATTAAATTCACTGAGCTATAACATTACACTAATGTTATAGCTCAGTGGCTAAATTGCGCAATCCTGAGCCCACGATGCCGCAATGGAAAGTCACACTTGCGACAACAAAATAAAAAAAGAGAAAAATTCCTCGCATTCCAGCGAGGGCAAATTATCACACTGGCTGCGGCCAGTGTAATAAAACACTTATTTACTGAGACCTCTGGAAAGCAGTGTGTTTTGTGGACCCTCGATCGTCGATGTTCGCCTCGGGAAACATCGACGGTCTCGGATCCACAAAACACACTGTTTTCCTCGGTCGCAGTAAATAAGTCATAGATATATGTAAAATAACATGATATTGCTTATTGTGTAACAATAGTCAAGAAGTGATTGTACCCAGTGACGAACCTAGTTCAAAATTATTGGTCATGTAACTATTTTGAGCGTCGAGGGCGCTAGACATCTATGAAGGTCGGGGGGTTCCCCC